TTAGAAGAATGGTACTGGACATCACAACCAGCTAAGATACTTGACCCCTCCCGATAGTTATGTACAAGACCACACACTCTTCTAAATGTCTGTGATACAGCAGTATTACATCCTATTCGGGCGACTGCATTTGGTCCGCGGGATAAGCCAATTGTAGACTTAGTCGGCCCAAAGTGACAAACTATTACCCAAGCTCCAGCAATAATCATAGCTACCCTTTTGAACCAGGCCGTCTAAGAGGCAGATGAAGTAGAGTTCAGCTGTTTGTGTGATCTCGTCTTGTGAAGGGATATTGAGGTCAGCACTATGCCCAGCCGCTTTTATATAACTTAAGTCAGGTAGACCTGCCCATTAAATATCATTTGTGGCTTAAGCCCGGGATCCGAACTAGAAACGTTTGGGTTAACAGTCGTGAGCTCAATTGTTCGACCATCCCGTCCCAATACTTACGAACTATTGGAAAAGATAACTAGAAATCAGGTATTCCCACTAAAATAAAGGCAATTAATAAATCTGAGCTCACCAATATAGAGGAATGTACTAAGGATTAAACGTAAAAAGCATTCTAAATCAAGATGCTAATTATATCTTTAAAGTATAATTTAACGTGGATAGGCGCTGCCGCCACCCCCACCCCCTCCCATATGTTATGAACTTTACGCTAATTTCAAAATTGCGTGACAGCTAAGCCTCAACGTAGCCGACACCTCTAGTAGGTTATTATTGATCGCCCTGTGGCTAAATTTAGAATAAAGGGAAGCAACTACGTCTCCGTGCTTACATCAGCATCAAATACAGACCTATTGAGTGAATTATTCATCCTCTTACACGGCGAGTACTATACAAAGGTTAAGACGTAGTTTATGATTCACTTAAACGTATATGTCTGAGACGGCATAAGTGGGTCTAATTACACAATATCCAATAAGTAATTAGATCAATGCGTTTGGTGTTGTGTTGACACATTAAATGAGCAAAATTGTTTTTGTATTGCTGACTTAAAAAAAAATAATTCTGAAATGGTTCATTTTTTTTTATTAGAAATTTTTTTTTTTAAATGTTAAAACCCAGCTTCATATTAGTTAGTAGTAGGCCTCCATAAATACATTACACAATCAAAAACAATTTAACCCTTTATTTACGGAATTATGTTCTGAATGAGATTTTTACTTAAACAATGTGTTACTATATTGCTTTTGGCACATTCAAAGCATATGTCGAAGGTAATTTCGTTTAATAAATTTTTAATGACCCAAACAGATACTGGTACTTATAAGTACCGTCAGTAATCTAGGACATTTTTTTTTCCAAAAATTTTTTTTTAAAAACAGGAACAAACGATACAATTTATTAAGTAATAACATGGCAATCACCATAACAATCACATTTTGTAATTTTCACACATAAATACAGCACAAAAGTATATTTTGAGTACGAATTTTACTGTATTTTGTATGGGAACACATCTTAGACCTCATACACAGCACAAGTAGTCGACATGTCATGCTCCCTCAATCTTGTCTGTGGTCTTTCTGGTGTAGCAACGGTTGCCGGAATGAATATGCTTTTGCTGGAAGCTTCCAATAACTAGTACAATGAGCCACATAAACAAACAAAAGCCTAGTCATTCAGCACACAACTACTAGTATTGCTAGTATAATTGTAGACTACTAGAATGTTATGACAAGTCTACACTACAGTGCAAAGTTCATAAATAGAAGTGAGCTCAATGTGTTTAGGATAGCCGTAGTGTTTTCTGTTTACTGATTAAAATTTACCGTATAGATCTATACTATATGCAGAAGTATGGACTATTACTAGTCTACAGGTATACATTACGTAAATGCTAGTTATTGTTGGCAAGACAGTTTATTGCAGTAAATATAACTAACATATTAAATCTTACTACTAGAACTAGGCTTTGGTATACAAATTCAGTAAACTAAACCTTGTAAACGAGCCTGCAGCTGATACCTTTATTCTTGTTATTTTTTACTAATAGAAATTAACATGTAATTACAATATTTCTTAGGTAAACCTTATGCAAACCTTCTTATAAATGTGTAAATATCATTTTTTGAGTACATTTCGATAATTTATTATCAAGACAATATTTATGTAACTCCACCTAACAAATCTGCCATTTTCTAAAAATCCTAAAAAAATGACCGTGCTTATAAGTCCACTTGTAAACATCGATCTAATACAAAGACAATTTGATTAAAATTGTATAACTAGAAGTTAAACGCGTTTGCCTGACTATTGAAGGTGCCAATAAAAAATATTTTAGGTTGAAAACTTGAAAAATAAGGTAAAACAAAGGGAATTCAGGAACGTGTGTGAGAACTGTACAGAACAATTGTGAACTACCGATATTGCAAGACATTGAAAATGGCGCCACACCATTAATTTAAAAAAAAAAAAAAAAACATTGATACCTCCGACTACCTGCGACTCAGGGGAGATAATACTATTAATTACCTCAATAATTTCTAAAATTCGTATTAAATTAAAAATAATACAGGTACTTAATTAAAGTGGTACTTATAAGTACCGTCAGTAGATAAAGGGTTAAAAAATAATCACCATGATTAATATTTTAAAAAATGATGATAGGGCTAAATGTTATTCATAACTGCTATTTTTGGCTGTTAGAGTAGCAAGGTCTCATAAGATACTAACAGGAGAAAAACAATGTCTTGACAAGATGAGAATCTTTACACCTGAGTGGTCACTAAAACAAGTCCAAGTGTGTGCACTGAACCGTGACTGTGTCCTGAATCAGAGCTTAGATTAGGCCTCAGGTTCTATTTATAGTTTATGATCTACTAGCTGGACAGATATGTCTGAATGAATCAATGGAAACATTAAATAATGTTCATTTACACTAATGCTAAATGGGTTATTAATTGCTTATCTTCTAACAATATCCCATGTACATCACTGATAAGTTCTGATACACCTAACTATGATACATTTTTACTATTAAAATGTTGGAAACTGTTTTAAATTTGTACTATTTATGTGAGTTTATCCCACCACAGTGATTTCAGTGAGAAAAATAAATGACCAATCATATTCTACATTTCATTTCTCGGAACAGAAAAAAATAATTAATAACTTTAACCCACCAAGATAGATAGGTCTATCTATATTTTACAAGTTTATAGCCTGGGCTATATTAGTGTATGTTTATTATTAAGGAGGAATATATGATTATGACATTGGTTTAATAAAATTGTCAATCAAGTAATATAATAAGTTTAAAACATGTATTTAAGTAAACAAATTATACTGGATCTTTCACTTTACATAATTATGTTTCAATATTAAGTAAAAAGAAAACTGGTAAAATCTATGTACTTTAAGATTTTACGACAAATTCTGCTTCTCTGGTATTAAAAAATATCATAAATTGAAATTATAGTGATATGGCATTACTCTGCCCATGATTTTTTCTGATACTATGTGGGTATCAGTAGTCTATAAGTACCATATTTGTGTTTGTTCTAGTTGTCGAGAAGTGGATTTACATTTATTATTTATAAATAAAATGGTAGTTAACTAAATACACACATGGCTGGCTAATGTCAATGCTAACCCTGACCCTAACCCAAACCCTGGTCCTACCATACGCCTAACCATAATTTCTAACCATAAAATTAGTCAAGATTACAATACTACTAACAACCCAACACACCTATTTTATGGAAGAGTCTACTATCAGACACCTGTATTTATAGTCATCCCCAGTGTTGCTTCCAGACTTTTTTCTTTGGGGGGGGGGGGGGGGGGGGGGGGGGCAGACACTGTGGTTAAAAGTATATATTTTCGGGGGGGGGGGGGGGGCAGACACTGTTAAAAGTATATATTTTCTATATATATTATATAAATTTCATTTCATTCAGAGGGGGGGGGGGGGGTGTAAGAATTTGGGGGGGGGGATGCCTGGAAGAAACTCTGGTCATCCCTTTTATTGATATCCTTAAGCTTGTTAGCTTAGTGATAATAATTTTAGGTTTCTATTACTGTGCATTGTTTCCTTAACCTTTTGATTAGTTTGTTAATCAACCTCAAGTGTCCTTACTAAATGAAGATAATGAGGAGGCACTTCAATATCTCACTTATGTGTAATAGTAGCAGGCCCTATAATGAGGAATATTCAATATAGATTTGTCTTGTCTAGACATTGTTGAGTTAATCAGTAACAGAAGGGACATTATGAATATGATCATTGACCTCTCTACAAATGCCTGTAATCAGTCTAAATGCTTTTTTACAACACCATATAGATTCTAGAATCTAGATCTATTTCTAGTTAGATCTAGATCTAGTTGGCCTAGATTTTGTTGGACAGTAAGCTAAATAATTATTTTTTTCTAAAAATTAGGCTAGGCTATTTGTATTTGTTCCTGGTGTGTTGTCTAGATCTAGATCTAAATCTAGTAGATAATTATATTATCTAGGCTAAATCTAGATCATCTAGATCTAGAATAATTTATTATTTCTAGATCTAGATATATATAGATCTAGATCTACAATTCTAGAGCATTTTGTAGTCCCTTCTATTCAATTTAATAATTTATTCAATAACGAGTAGGCACGGAGGCCTTTTTTGAAACTTTTTTCACATACTAGATCTAGATCTAGGCCGTAATCGATAGGCTTAATCATAAATTATAATAGTCTATATCTAGATCTATATCTAGAAGTAAGATTAAGAACTAAGAAGAGTTAAGAGAGTAAATCAGTAAAAGTAAAAGACCAGCTATGACAAGACGAAGAAAGAAGAAGCTGAGTTCTATGATTGATATCTCAATCACTTGCTCACTTTTGGCAAGTTTTGGCCCGGCAGTGCACGCTAAAAAAGTAAACATTGTCTGGACAATAAAAAAATTTCAGATAGGCCCACAAATACAATGCATTAATAATTCAAATACTAGTATGAACATTCCAGAATATTTAAATACACAACAAAGTTTCAAATAAATGCTACTAACCTTCTGCTGTTTGCAAGATTACACTCGTACAGTATTCCAGATGGTATGCAAAATTATTTTAAAAATCAATCGAAAATTCCTCCTTTTTACAAAAACACAAGATCTGGTGACGCAATCAAAATATGTGTATACAAAAGAATGAATACAGTGTTTCTCAAACTGGCTTATTACCACCACACTAGTAGAAGTCTAGTAATATTAAAATACTACAGAAGCTAAAATTCATTTTAATATTTTGGGTTCATGATTTTAAAAATAAAATGCATATCAACAAACACAGAAGCATTTTTTAAAGAAACTTTCAACAAATGCAATTTCTAAGGGACACAACCATAAAATAGGCAACATATTCGCAGATATTAAATTATAGTTCCTTTTTTGTTGTAGGCTGTTGCAGAATTTATGATTCAGTTCGCTTAAAATTAAAAGGTACCGTCCTTTTTTGCCTATGTCGAAGCATTGAAAGGTAAAATGCAGAAGAAAAAACAAAAACACGAGTAACCACATATTTTGTAACTACATAAATAATGTTACTGGTATACAAGGGACTGGCATAAATAGTGTACTCATGAATTTTTATAAGAACAAAATAAAAATTAACATTTGTTAAGTAACATTTTTTTTCTTTTGTGTGTGTGTGTCTAGCAATTATTAACATTTGAAGATGTTGGTATCATCGTTATAATTATAACTACACAGCAGCTCTTTCAACATCAGCGAGACGACGAATCATCAAAACACCGTCACGAATGGGCACAAGCACCTGATGATGTCAAAACCAAAAATGTAGTCTTTTTGTAATACTAGATAGATTTTAGCAATATCCTAATGTCCTGTGTTTCTTCAAGACTTTCTTCTCCGAGGGTGGGGTTGGGGGGCACTTGATATTTGTATTTACGGGAGGGGGGCGGAGTAAGTTTTCCGGGTGGGGGTGGGGGACTCACTGATAAAAGCATATAATTTCTATATAAATTCAATTTCGTTCGTGGGGAGGGGGGAGCGGTGGATTTTTTTTCGCGCCCCCCCCCCCCCCCCCAAGAAATGCCTGGAAGAAACTCTGCTAATGTCGTTACGAGACAGTTACCTTGTGCAAAGATGGGTTATCGTGCACTGCCTTGACGAAAGTCTTAGTGACAGTTTCACCAGCAGAAGGGATGTATCCGTCCCCACCTCTGTAGGCGTTGTCTACTAGCACCGTACCGTTGGGTGCCAGCAGGTTTTGTTCGAATGCAAACTACACAGAGAAAATATAACGCATTAAATGTGGGAATAATTACCATATTGTCTACTAGCACTGTATTGCTAGGCGCATGCAGGTTTTGTTCGAATGCAAACTACACAGAGAAAATATAACGCATTAAATGTGGGAATAATTACCATATTGTCTACTAGCACTGTATCGTTAGGGTAAGCAGATTTTGTTCAAATGCAAACTACACAAAGAAGATATTATAACGTATTACAGGTGGGAATAATCAGTATATTGACAATTAGGGGCTGTACATAAATGACATAAACTTGTTACATTCTTGGGGGGGAGGGGGGGTCAGACTGTTGTTGCGATGTGCAGGGGGGGGGGGGTCAGAATGTGCAGAGGCGTAGCGACCCTTCCCGGCGCCCGGGGACAAACTTTCAATTTGGCACACCTCTCAGGAGCAAATTTTCAATTTGCACCCCCCCCCCCCCAAAAAACTATTTATAATTTATTTTTCCTTAACGAGCTACTTATAGTGTTTTAAAGAAATATTTTCAGTGTCAGCGTTGGTACTGTCGAATTCACAAATTATGAATTACTGAAAAGTAGAAAAAACAACAACTAAATAGCGGTGTATGTTATGCGGCGGGCCGGCTCGTACTCTATATTGACAGAGTTCTGACAAGATTTTGGAAAAATATCGATGTTTTTAGAAAAATTCAACAGCAATTTTGAGGGGGGGGGGGAGGATTGAGGGCTGAGGTGTGACGTCACGTTAGGTGGGGGTCTGGCTTTTTGTGACGGCGTGTGATGGAAGGGAGGGGCGGAGGTGAAAATTGTCAAAAAAGCGTGACGTCATTTATGGATGACCCCTAACCAAGCGTGGCGTCCGTCTATGGACGACCTGCTATTAGCGCATCCTCTTACTGTCAAACATTTATGTGGGCGGTCCTTCTGTAGTAACAAAAACACCAGTTACGGAAAATAAAGGTATCAACATCAATAGTCTTTGATGGAACTCGTTGAATTTTTTTTTTTTTTTTTTTTTTTGCCGTGAAGTTTGGCAAAATAAAGAGCTTTGACAGAACAATAAGAAAGGAAAATAAATACAAGGATAAAAACGAAAAGCGTTCTGAAATGTCAACAATATGACGCCAACATCATAAAACACCTTAAAGTATTCCAAGTACTGTGACTTATCCGCATCTAGAAATATGATGTCAAACTTCTCCTTCTGCTCCGCCAGTTTTTTAAGAACCTCTGGTGCTTTCCCTGAAATAAAAATGTTTCATTCTAGTTACTAAAGACTAGTAAAGACTAGTAAATGAACCAGTTAACATAAACACTGCAAGTAACAAAATTGAGATAGGGGCATAGCCCGAGTTTAGCAGTGATTTCGGGGTATATATATATATATATATATATATATATATATATATATATATATATATATATATATGCGTGTGCGGGTGTGTTGTATAACAGGACGCTGTACCAGGACGTAGAGGGCGACTGAGGTAAAGATGATATCTGATCCAGTTACATCAAATCATGGACTCGTCTGCCCGTTTCAGAGTTACTTCATACAGTAGAAGACCGGGTAAGATGGCAAAACATTCTGGGCATCATGCGTGGTGCTTCATGGCCCATACGTTTAAAAATAAAATTAAATGTTCACAAAACAATCAAGAACTTACGCACCTATTAAAATTTTAATTTTGTTTTGGTGTGGCGAGTTAGCTAGCAATGTTTCCCCTACATAAGTCTTGAGATACTCGTCTTGGTCAATGGTTACCAATTCTCCATCGTCTGAAACGTGAATTACCATGATTTATTTTACAGCTACAGTTAAGTCTTCGAACAGTCATTAAACAGTGGTTCTCAATAGCAATACATTTGAATGGGTTCATGTCATTATGTTTTAAGTAGTCTAAAATCACACTGCTTCCTGTTTTGGTTGGTGAAGCCGTTTTTTTTTTTTACAAAATAAGGTTGCTGGCCTTATAATCGAACCCCCCCCCCCCCAACCTGAAGGACCAGTGTGCTAGCTTTTGTCAGACCCCTACCCACGTCAGTGGCGTAGGCAGGGGGTAGGGTAGTGGGGTTTAGACGATCGTGGCTACGCCACTGACCCACGCAGATCTTCCCTGCTTGGTTGAACTTGCCATGAGTTTACACTACCGCTGGTATAGCTCTGGGGGTCGTCAGGGGTACACAAGCTGTCGAAAACGGAAAGGCTTTAGCAGGAAGCAGAGAAGGCCAAGGAAGACATGGAGGCGCACGGCGGGTAAGCAGCTAGCAGAGGCAGGACTGTCATGTGGGACTGCCAGGTAGCAGCTAGCAGAGGCAGGACTGTCATGGGGGACTGATAGGTAGCAGCTGACAGAGGCAGGACTGTCATAGGGAACTGCCAACTAGCAGCTGACAGAGGCAGGACTGTCATGGGGGACTGCCAGGAAGCAGCTGGCAGAGGCAAGACTGTCATGGGGGACTGCCAACTAGCAGCTGACAGAGGCAGGACTGTCATGGGGGACTGCCAGGAAGCAGCTGGCAGAGGCAGGACTGTCATGGGGGACTGCCAGGAAGCAGCTAGCAGAGGCAGGACTGTCATGGGGGACTGCCAGGAAACAGCTGGCAGAGGAAGGACTGTCATGGGGGACTGCAAGGAAGCAGCTGACAGAGGCAGGACTGTCATGGGGGACTGCCAACTAGCAGCTGACAGAGGCAGGACTGTCATGGGGGACTGCCAGGAAGCAGCTGGCAGAGGAAGGACTGTCATGGGGGACTGCCAGGAAGCAGCTGACAGAGGCAGGACTGTCATGGGGGACTGCCAGGAAGCAGCTGGCAGAGGCAGGACTGTCATGGGGGACTGCCAGGAAGCAGCTAGCAGAGGCAGGACTGTCATGGGGGACTGCTAGGAAGCAGCTGACAGAGGCAGGACTGTCATGGGGGACTGCCAGGAAGCAGCTGGCAGAGGCAGGACTGTCATGGGGGACTGCCAGGAAGCAGCTAGCAGAGGCAGGACTGTCATGGGGGACTGCTAGGAAGCAGCTGGCAGAGGCATGACTGTCATGGGGGACTGCCAGGAAAATTGCCGGGGACCGACAAAAGTGGAGGGAGTTTTCTGTGGCGACCCCATGAGTCTTAGGTACAAAAAGGAAACGATGAATGTGAACATAACATTTAGTTAACACTCAATGGTATTCGTTTGTTGATAGTTTGATGCTGATGTTGCTTTAGTTGGATATTTATATGTTGGTTTTTTTTATTGTCACCATGTTAAAATCGTATTTAAGTGTGATATTGTAAGTATAAAATACCTGGTAGAGCTTCAGCCATAGACAGGGCGCTATAGCCAGTAAACATACCAATGTCAAGGGCACGTTTGGCTCGCTGAATACTGACAATAGATTTTAGGAATTGACCTGGTTAGTAAGAAAACAAGTATAAAAAACTTTAATTAACAATATTTTAAACGCACTAAGAAAATAAACAAATACTTTCGTTGCTATTAATAGTAATTTTAGAAAGATTATATAGTTTGAGAAATGTTGAGTATTGTTAAAAGCAGTACCGCTTCTAATTAATCTTATTTAATTTAATATTCTTTGCAAATTAATTTTTAAAACGATTTAAATATCTAAATAGATTTAAATTTGTTATGTCTATAAAAATGAATTGAGCTGGAAAAAATTCCAACGTAACAGTGGCGTAGGCAGGGGGGTTAGGGGGGGGTCATAACCCCCCATAGACCCCTCGGTATATAGAAAAAGTATGAGGGGGTGTGCAAATCGAAAGTTTGAGGGGGGTGGGGGCGGGTGCAAATCGAAAGTTTGAGGGGGGGGGGGTGCAAATCGAAAGTTTGAGGGGGGTGCAAATCGAAAGTTTGAGGGGGGGGGGGTGCAAGTCGAAAGTTTGAGG